ATAATTATCCTAATTATATTTTAGATTTTTTATATTTTAAAATGAGATGCTAATCCTCTATTTAATTATGTTTATCCGCAGTTAGTTACACGAATTCAAACATGAAGCTTTAATAAGTTATATTTATGCATAATTTACTTGTAATCTTGAATTTTAAGTAATATGCATCAATATACAGTACTTCATGCATAAAAAATGATTTTTAAGAGTTTTTGTCAAATGTTTTATAATATAGTATAGGTAATACGAAATTTGAATGAAGAATTTGACGTAACTGATGGAAGTTCGAAAAAACAACATTCGTACCAAGTGAAAACTATGTTTGATTCCAATTGGAAGATCTTCATGAATTGGCGAAGGTGCGGCGAAGGTTGTTGCAGCGACAAGTGGAGGTAAAGGCGGTGGAGTTGGTGAAAGACAATGGTTGTGGAGAACATGAAGTCATGAAGACGGTGGACAATGGTGGTGGTGGTGGCGGCCGATAGTGGTGGAGGAGGTAGTTGTGCCGATGTGAAGGAGGTATGGGGGATGGCGATGAACGGTGGTTGTGGAGGTTGTTGCAGTAGAGGATGAGATGTGTAGATAGCCAATGGTGGTTGCCGGTGGCTTCCAATTGCCACTGGTGCCTGGTGGTGATTGCACCAATAATGAATGATGACGAGTGATGACCATTAAAATAAATATCATATTAGAATTAAATATCAAATCAAGGTAGGTTAATAATTTTTTAACTTCTCTCTCATCCTTGTCCCATGTTTTTCCATTTTTTTTTTGATGGAGCACCAACTCTTTTTTGTCCCACCGTCTAATATAGCAAATGCAGCTTTTAAGATAACCCTTCATTTTTTTTTATCAACCCGTATATCCAATCCGCTATGTGAGCCGACTAATCTCAAGGCGACCACCTGCTTTGCAGATAGTCCGGAGTCACCGCATTTGAACCTCCGTAGCCACAAGGGAATTTTTATTCCTCCTGGATTTGAACCTAGGACCTCTTGATACTTTTGATTTTTGGAGCCAATCTCAAACCAATTAAACATTTGTTTAGATAACCCATCATTCAAGTCTCACCCATTAAAAAATTAAGTAAAATATAATCCCATTCCCATCTACCGACGACCATAGCAAGCTTTAGCTTTGACTTGGAGATTCAGTTTTCTATACACAAACTAGTGAGGAAACGAAGGTAGAATATAGATATGGAAGGGATGATGAAGATGGGTGATGTAAATCACCATAGAATAAAGACTAATGGAATATGGATGCATGTTGCAGAGAAAGGTGATGAACAAGGACCACTTGTGCTTCTCCTTCATGGCTTCCCAGATACCTGGTTTTCATGGCGCCATCAGATTGGTCATTTGGCTAGCCAGGGTTACCATGTGCTTGCACCTGACCTCCGTGGCTTTGGTGATTCTGACTCCCCACCTTCACCCACTGCCTACACCATCTTCCACATCGTAGCTGATCTCCTCGGCCTTCTTCATCACTTCAATCACCAACAGGTCCTCTCTCTCTCTCTCTCTCTCTCTCTCTCTCTCTCTCTCTCTTTTTAATCCAAACAAAACAAATCCAGTATGTGTGTGTGTGTGTGTGTTGTGATGTTGATGAAGCTTTGGGGTTGACCTTGGGTATGTATGGATCAGGTGTTTGTGGTGGGGCATGATTGGGGTGCAACAGCAGCCTGGCATCTTAGTCTTTTCAGGCCTGATAAAGTCAAAGGAATGGTGGCAATTTCAGTTCCATTCTTTCCTAGATCCCCAGATATCAACCCTACTCAATTCTTCAAGCAATCATATGGGGATGATCTCTATATATCCCAGTTCCAGGTTCTTTTTATAGCTGTGTGTGGACGTTACTATTTAGCAGAATAACCTTCTCACATATTATTTTTAAATACATGACCTTCTGATAAATTTAAAGACATCCAGGTCTTTTCCTAACACAAAAATGTGTAGGAAGGTCAAAGAAAAATTGTCAAAAGGTTATTGTCCTAAATAGCCAGATGATTGTTAAATGGTCGACAGATTTGAAGTTTAGGAAACTAATACAGGAAGCAGGAAGGGCAGAGAAGTCTTTTGCAAAGTATGATTACCTGACAGTAATGAAGAAGTTCTGGATGATCGAGAAGGTGGTATCACCTCCTGGCATGGAATTTATCGATTGTCTAGAAACTCCTTCAGTGTTACCACCATGGATTACCGAAGAGGAACTCCAAGTATACGCAGACAAGTTTCAGGAGTCTGGATTCACCGGAGGTTTAAACTACTATCGTGCTATGGATCTGTAAGAATCGAAATACGGCTATGGACATTTAAGAATAGCATGAGGATGTTCCAAAAAATAATACTAGGGTGTGTTTGATAGTGAGACAGGATAGAATAGGACAAGACAAAACAAAAATTTGTTGTCCCATGTTTGATACCAACTTTTAAACCGGGACAAGAGTCCAGACTGAGTGGAACAACAATGCATTTTGTTGTCCCACTAAAATAGGTCCGTAAATTACAAAACTACCTGGGTCAAATTAAAACCCTAAAACCTTTCACAATTCTTCACCCGCCTATCTTGCTCTTGCCCGTCCAGTCCTGCCCTTTCCCGTCTGTGTCCAAACGCACCCTAAATTCTATTTATATGATTTTCTTCCTACTATTTCTAATCATGTGAACTTTGCAGCAACTGGGAGCTGCAAGCACCATGGCAAGGGTCAAAAGTAACTGTTCCATCGAAGCTAATTATTGGAGACAAAGATATTGGATTTGGTGGAACAAAGGAATATGTCGATGGAGATGTTTTCAAAGGACTAGTTCCTGATATTGAAGTTGTCATACTAGAAGGCCACCATTTTATCCAGCAAGAGAAACCTAAACAAGTTTCTGATCAGATCATATCTTTCCTTGAGAAACTTACCGCAACTTAGGCTTCTAGGGATCGGTCTTATGAATAAGAATATGTGTCCAGCAAAGGCGAAAACCGAGTTATATTTCCTAGGAGTTCCTGTCATTATATGCTACCTAAGATCGTAACATTAAATAACTACAAAAGCACAGTAATATTCATTTAGCAATATTTGAAACCAGCGGGTTTTCACTGAAACAACCACTCTACTCTCAGGGGTAGGGATTAGGTCTACATACATTCCACCCCTCCCAGACCCACCTCCCAGTGGGAGGCACGTTTGGCTGGGTTTGGTTAGCATGCAATGAATGCCTATGGACTGAAAAGTCTCTGATCTCAAAGGAAGTTCCATTACTTACTCAGAGAAATACATGACTCAGGTGAAACCCAAAACAAAAAAAGAATTCTATAATCAACAATCAGATGATTTATGACTCAAGTCAAGTTTGATCTGCAGGTTTGACACATTATTTGATTCACAATACGAAGTCCTGGATAAGATCTACAACACACTAGAACACGCCAACACCCTTGTAAAGCCAGAAAAGGAAATAATAATTAGGATTGATAGAAGAAGCAGAATCAGAAATCATATAGAGAGAAGGAAAAGAGTAAATAGATTATCAGAAGAAGAGAACATTGCTTTTGCAAACATGAATGGCATTTTCTAGTTAGAATAGCTAAATTGGTTGATTGTAACTGGGTATAATCCACTACAAATGATCAACTATTGACTCTATTTTCAGTTTTTGGGTCATAAGCACTTCGACTAATCCCATGGGGCCCTGAAGAAACAAGAAAATCCTCAGTGGCCCTGAGACCCGATCCAGCGACCTATGGGAAGGAGCCCCAAGACCCAGCCTTTATTTGCATGTAGAGCTAAAAGATGATCGAGTGGTTGAAACTTGAAAGCATAGCAGTGGAAGCTATGTAGGCTTTTGCTCACCAGAGTTCGAATAATCATCTCATGGCAACTAAGAATGAATTAAATCAGATGATTCCACTTTATGGATCTCCTACTAAACCTTGACCAAAAAAAAATGAAAAAACCAGTCTTCACAACACTAACAAAGGATTTATCGAAAAGTTAGTGTTAAAAGTCTTTTTTAGAAATCAAATAGATTCAGTATTATATATCCGCAAGGAAGGTAAATCAGAAATATGATTTTGGAGTTGTGTAAGATGGAAGTCTTATGCATGGTTTTGAATGAGAGAAAGAAGTGAGGAATCCTCTTTTCGACATTTTAAATCTATCACTCCTGTTGTTGCTTTTCATTCTGTTACTTCGAACGTTGCTGCTTCAGTTTCAACCACTAGAATGTCTTATATTTCTTTGTATTTCTAATCAAACGAATTGCATCTTCTTTTGGAAATCTCATTGCTATCACTCAAACAAGCATACGCAATCACAAATATCGGGCAACTAAAAGCTTCATCTACTTGCGAATAAGGTTGATAAAAGAAGGATGTGCATATGCATGTGGATAAACATATCAAACATCATAGAATCTAGATGTAAATGGTCGGTTTTCTTGACTGAAACTCTTTTATTTTCATCAAGTTCTTTAAATGCGGATAGGTTCGTAAAGAAATACTAAAAATTTTAATACCCTTTATGGGATCTAATCATCGTCTTCCATCATGAGATACAGTAGGTACTAGATTGATTCTTCGAGTCAGAAATTCATCAAGTCCACCTCTCCTTAGCAGAGTATAACTACATAAACATATGTTAGGAGGTGAGAAAATGGAAAGATAGCTTCCTGAAAACAGAAGAAGTTATGCATTAGCTCGACAAAAGATACCAGCCCTAATGTAGTGGAAACAACACTGCCATCAGCCTTTCTGCAATTTGTTTGCTTTCCACATCCTCTGCCAGTTTACAGCATAATAGTTGTCAAAGTTGGTGTCGAAGAACAAAACTGTTGGAACACTATTAGTGATGTTATACACATGACCTCTTCAATTCACAAATCATACATTATCCTCTGGAGTAAAATGAGAACTAGGAAGAACACATGTCACTCCTTAGCCCTTGCTAATTTCAGCATGTTCAGAATATTCTCGTACACAACGAAGGTCAGTGAAGAAGAAGGAAGATTTTTCAGAATATTTGCTGTGATGCCCTTGTAGAAACCATTTAGACCCTCTAACCTAAAAGCCAAAGTGGGTTAGTATGGAACAGACTTAAAAGAGTAAAACATGTGCATGAAGTTATGTTCATATTCATAGAGCTCAAACTACAAATGCAATGAACCTGCTTCTTCTCATTTCACTGAGGAAATAAATCTGGATTTACTTCATTCATATGCAGAATGACTACACAAGTGAAAAAAACTGGGAATTCAATGGGAATCTTCTCTAGATGCAGATGAAATCACTAGACAGTATGGGATCGTAGCTACGAAAACCATCATATAGTTGCTCTGGGCCTATGGTGACACCATTAATGCATAAATGGTGTCAAGATCAAAGTATCCATGCCCTCTCAGAATTTAGAACTGCTGGACAATAAGAAGATAATGAACTAAAATCGCTTCAACATCCACGTCCTAATGAAATTCGTGCTCATAAGCCACAGAATAACAGCAAATGTAATTTTGTAGTCAACATGGGAATATCTTTGGAAATTCTCCGAACAAAAATGGACATGATATGCTGCCATGGCTCAATTTTATTTTGGACAAGAAGAAATTTATCTTTTTATTGTTTATTTTGAATGTGTGGGGGAATGTCATTATTGTTCTGGTAATGCTATCTCAAATAAGATGCTATCATCATTACCCAAACTATTTTAGATGCAAAAACTGGTAGAATAAAATCTCGCTATTACATAGAGCGGGAGTGAAAAAATCTCAAATAGGATGCAAAAACGATCAATTACAGGTTCGGTTTGCTTGAGAACTAGGCTCGATTTCCATGTTTGTCATTTTAATAGAAACTAAACTTTTTAATGATGTCATGGCAAAAAGATTTCCTTGGCAATACCATCAGATAGTAGTTAATCATGAATGGCAAAGAAGCAAGTAAACAGTGACATAAATGAGTATTTGCAAATAGAATACACACGCACCGAGCAGTTCTCTTCATGACTTGCCAGCTATCCATATATCTTGGAACTCCATTAATACCAGGGCGTTGCTACAATGTGGAAATGGATACAACTTTAGTTACCAGAAACATTATAAAACTTGAGAAACATTGCTGGATCCCAAAATAGATTCACAAAGTCCCCTAACTTTAGTTAACATGAGGTCTCAACAAGAGTAATAGTCAAAAGCATAGAGATGTAGAGACTCATTTACCTGCAAGCGTGCACGAATGACCTGAAAATTAACCCATGTGACACGAGAACAGTTACAAGTTTGAAGCATTTAGTTTTGTACTTGGATAAGTAGAAAAACATATCAAGTAAACAGACATGATGATAATGCTTACCTGGAATGGATATGTCACAAGGATGGCAGCCAGTTTAGATGAAGCTCCTAAAGTTGCATAATCAATCGTAGTCTGCAAGGAACGTCCCAGTAAAATTAACTTACCCATGAAAGAAAGCCAAATCATGTGAAAAGGAAAGCACATCAAGACAGCAACACGGAATAGCAAATTAAACGTATAGTGTAAAGCCTAAACGACAAAGGAATTAATATAGAACAAGATTAACCACAACAATAAGCCTTTTTATCCTAAACCAGTTGGGGTAAGGTAAAATTGAAACCAAAATTGGTACAAAAGCAAACATAAAGAGTCAAATCCCCCTAGGGATCCAAGAGATGAATGGCATCCTTCCATGCACTCCTATCCAAGGCAACACCTTTGGCACACACCACTCATGTGAATCCGTCTACTATTTTTCACATGCCAATCTTGGAAGACGTCTATCACTCCTGAAACCTTCTTCTTGTTGTTCTATAGACAGACACAAAATAGCATAGTTGTACTCCAGGATGCATTCAAGCCAATTTAGCAGAATGACAAGGAAAGCTAAAGAATATTAAAAAGAAAAGGAAGAAAAGAAAAAGATACCAAGTATATTGGGCTAGGGAAAAACGTGGATTATAGAAAAACATAATGGGGATCAATATATAAAATCCTTGGCTCAACTAAAAGAAAAGGGCACCTTCAACAGAAAACCTCTCAGAAGTTCATGCAGAGAGACCAAACTTCTGTTCATAATAGGTAATACCTCTTATAATCATGCACAGGAAGCATGGAAGGCAGTCAGCATGAACGAGCAAATGTGCTTGCCTCAGAAACAACAAGCTTATCTTAAACCAGTGGGTGACACCAAAAATGAAACCCATCATAAATTAAAGGAGGTGTAAAATCAAGGCTTTGGACATGACTAACAACCTTCCATTTACTCCTATCTAGATCCAAAATATTAAATACATTACAATATTGAAATGTCAAAGTCCAGCTGTCCAGGCTGGAGATGAGTGAAACATCTCAAGAAGTGTTGCATTCGTCTCTCTCATCAATAGAGCCACTCAAAACTTCTCTTCATTGTCCTATTTTTCCTATCCTGTCATTCTCTATCTTTCAACATTCCTTACACATTGGAAAATAACTTGAAAACGACCAAGTTTTTTCCATACTATATCATCATGACCACATGCAGCACAAATTTATCAAGTTGTATCACAGGTATGCCTCTTGTTGCATTTGATTAGGTGGAAAGGACACAAACTGGCCATTCTGGCCAAATGAATTATCCTGATGTAAGATGGTCAATGTGCCCCAATTAGCTTTTACCATTTGACTAGCCTCTCCAAAATCTATCTTATTCTCACACTCATCTTCAAGTTATGTTCTTCCAAACATTCTCAACTCCGTCCCATTGGTGCTTCCCTAATGATCCCATCAATGATGGTCTTCATCACCACCATAGAGTACCCATGGCCTCTTGAAGGAGCTCCATGATCATTGATCAAACTGCCATCGGCATAGCACTCTTGGAGAACAAACAGAAGTATAGCCTACGTTAAAAACAAACTATGTGTGTGGCATCCCATCTTTATGCTCATCTATTCAGCCCGAAGCCTGAAGTAACCTTTCCTACATCTATGGCCTCTGTTCAACAACAACATGTTAAGGGGTCTCCAATTATAAGTGGAAATTAATTATAAATGACACATCAACTGGATATGATCATCTTCCTCCATTTAATTTTTCATACATTTTCGGGTTTTATTTATTACAAGTAGTTGAGGAAACAGAATATAGCACCGACACAAATCTTGTGTGTCCTCTTACATTAAGCAAAAATAAAATATTCATAAGCACATGCTACATTAATGGGTTATTAATGGTCCTTAAGTTCGAAATGATTCATCAGACAAACTTACCAATAGATCAGCACTACCAGAAATCAGCACGCTTCGTTCAAACCTAAAGTTGACTAGTACTTTACGAAGCTCCTCATATGCAGTAAACTGAATAGCCCCATGACTGACTTGCTGCATAAATTGCACAGCCATTACTGTAGTGTCAGGGTCAGGTAATGATTTGTAGGTAAACATTCTTGAAAAGTATGATGTTCTTGAATGGCATATCAACCATCCATCAAATGAGATGTGTCTCTAGAAACAGCCAGAAAGATATGATCATGTATAAACCAACTTGTAATTTTTAAGTGCCAATATACTTGACAGAAACTGCTTATATCATAAAAACTTGAACATAAATAGCAATACCAAATCTAACCAGAAAAAGACCAGGTACAAGCCCTTTGTATAAAGCCTTCCACCCTTCATCTTTCACCACAGTTTTTAAAGCATCTGAAATCACAACAGATGAGATAACTTGCTTATATCAAAGGCATATATGTGCAGTATTAGCAGTAAGTTAGCATGCATTTGTGTGTACACATACATGACAAAGCTTCTACACAAACACTTACTAGATGGCGGAACAAAGATCTCTATTGAGTTTGAACCGAGATGCTAGCTATTATTTTAGTATGCTATCCCCTAATGCTTAAAACTTTTACCCATAGTTAAAAAGATAACTGCATGAGATCATTCATTTCCACACAGCACAAAACTTGCCAACAGGCACAACAACCTACTAACATTCATGAATTTTATTATCCATTGCAAGTGCCTGATGGGATCTTCTTCCCAAATTGATCTCAAACCATTGAATCCAAATCGAACGGCAGGGTAAAGCATCATGCTCCTTCATGTTCTCTCTATCAACATCCATTCACACCTTTTAGAGCTAATCTTTTGTATAAGCACACCCTTTTCCCACTTTGATGCATCAAAATTCCCTTTAGACTTTTCTCTAAAAATGTATTCTTTTTGTCACAATTGAAATGACATTTTTTTAAATGGCAAACCTAGTCGGTTAGTACTTCCAAAATTCAAAATTAGTACCAATCATTTTACAGTTTGACCCCCATCTTGCTTCTATTTTTGTGTTTGCAATGTTACCATCTTTTATCACAATTAAGCCTGTATCAATTTTGTAAGTTTGCGATATTTTATATACGGCAAACACTCATGTACACTCCTTACCCTTGGTGAGGTTTGAAACCTTGACCTCCTAGGAGGCTAGGCTCTACCGGTAACCCTGGTACCGCTGGGCAATGACCCTTTGGCATCAATTTTGATACCGGGAGTAGTACATTTGACTTAAAAAGTTGAATGTGGCTTCTGCAAAGGATGTATAGTAGAGTTGATAAAAGATTTGTATGCATGTTCCAGCAAAATCATTTGAAGATTTACTAAAGCAAAAGAGAAAACTGAAAATTTTCAACAAGGGAGAAATTTATCTGAAAGCATGTTTGAAATCACCCCTTGCCCCTTATGTGAAATTAAAATAGATATATCCTCAGTACATTAAAACAAAAGTTGTTCTGTTTGCAGAAGAAAAAAGAAAAGAAAAAAAGTTTTATGCCTTTTTTTTCTTTAGACAACAAGCATTTCACATGCATCTGTATCCTAGTCTTGTATTACCATGGCACCCATTTTGAACTACTCCATCTTATACATAGTTGAAGAAGAGAAGTGCTGATGCATCCTGGAACATTTTTACCCACAATCAAATATTCACACTGCATAATTTTGGAGTATCAATGATTCAGATTTTTTAAGCATAAAGATATATAGAAGACTAGGACCCAGAATCTGCTAAAGATGATTTGAAAACTGCAAGTCCACAGCTGGAACCTGGTTATGACCAGTGATAAATCAGTATCTATCCTGTCATTATGAAATCAATGGATCCCATGAGGTCATCGGGACATCCTTCAATTTCATTGAACTTTTATAATATAGAGAGGTGATTTGGAAATTATGGGAGTACTAGAAAAATTCGGACATTTTTAAGAGTTCAAACCCACAACTTTAAAGTAACACTCGTACCCCAAAATTCTTCAGTGTAAACATGCATTATTAATAAAAATTCTGTGGTTGTTTCTGTAAATTCTATAACTTCCATTCAACATACAGATCCGAATTAATTAGTAGGAAAAGACTGTCAAACCCTGAAAACTCAAAAATCGTCCTCTCCTCCCTGCTATCTTTTCCTCTTTCCAGTCTCCCTTCTCTTTGAAGTCTCAAATACATTGCAGGATGCCAGATCACCCTGCCACTGAATGCACTGCTTCATCTTCTCACTGCAACTCAGTATGCAAGGACTTGCAGTATATGTTTCTTGCCAGACACATGATACACTTGGTTAAATATATGCATGTTTCATATTTGATCAAATTCACTTGAGGACCTTTCAGTTTTCAGTGATTTGTAATTCTGATGGGAAACTGAATTTATGAACTTCAGGGTTAGGGTTCAGGTTTGTTGTCGAAAAGTTACAACTTGAAAGTTGTTTTTGATATTCTTTATCGTGTTTATTGATGCATTGGCTTATGGTCAAACTATAATGACCCTATTTTGAATTCACACCTTTAGCGCAATATGGTGACACCATATATCGAAACATCCGATTTATACCTAATGCAAGGTGACCTATTATGAACTATTAGTATGTTTCTATGTCGGTACAAATGTTGAACAATAGTTGATATAATAAAACTGGATTGGTGGATTCACTAGGAGGGAAAATAGAGAAGAATAATTTATCAGAAACCACATAGGTTGCAATTTAATACAAGGTTCAGAGCAGACCATGGAAACCAGAATATGGTCGTGTTTGGTGCTGAGGAGTCTGAAGTTGTAATCTTGTTTTCACAAGCCAAACAGGATTGGTAAGAACACATACCTGGAAAAACCGACAAACTTTATCATAATCAAGATGGTAGTGAACACCATATAAGCATATCTCAAGATTCTAAGGATAAGAAACAGATGACTATTTAGAATTTAGCTTCCAGAACAAGAAAAAAGCAAGACAATTGCCACCTATAAAATTATTGTTAAAAGTTCGTTGTCAAATTGCATTAATGCGTAGATACGTCCAATTGACACTACTATCATTTTAACAATTTTCTTCAAAAACTAAGTTTAGGAATATAAACATTCCTTCAACACCTAACTTGCAGTATTTGATTTCTAGCATCTTCCGCTTTTCCTTTCACGTATTAGACAGTTGCATGATTAGCTTAACGAAGATTCTGAGGTGTTCAATTTCTTCCTAAAACAGGAAGGCCAGGTACAATATATCGACACGAGCAAAAGATATCAGGTCAACATTACAATATGAAGCAGCCAACCACATCCCCCTCCCTCACCACACCACCCCCTTCTTTCTGTGTAAAAGATGATAAAAAGCTTCAGAAGAGCAAACTTACTCACCAAACCTCCTGCTTCTGCAGCTGAAGCTAGATGAAGACCTGGGGTCAACTTGTCTCTATTCTTCAAATACCTTTGTTTAGCTTTGCTATAGCTATAATAAAAGGATAAGATCATGTCAGGAGGTCGAATATGCATATAAGCAACCCCACTAAAGTCTGATGCATGATAGATGTGAAATCTAAGATACCTCTCCAATTCAAAATAAGAGTAAAAGACATCTCTTTCCTGCCTTTTTGTATGGTTATCTATATATGCAAACTTTATACGCCCCAAAATCATAAAATTCCCATTAAACTCCCATCAATCCCGCTAGATCCTCAACGTATATAACTACTTGCTATAAATCAAGTAGAATTTTGCTTTGATTTAACCAGATAGAAAAGGAGTCTTAGAATGGGTTTATGACAATAAGGAGTGAACAAAAAAGGTGGTTCCTCAAGTATCTATGAACCTTCAGTTTTGTCCCTTGACACATAACTTACATAAGCTTGCATTTGCTGTCCCTAAACGTAAATCAGGTACGTAGGTTATTGTTGACAGAATGCAATTAGATCATATGATAATCACATGTCTTTCTTTCATGAGATAATTCGACAATAGAACGGACACTGCAAAGTTTGTTCACGGAAAAATGAAGTTTGTGTTTTAAGCGTGAAGCCAGATAAATAATGCACCAATGCTATGGGTGTTTGTCCTGTTATAGATCATTTAACCAACAGGGGAAATGAAAATTGCACAAAGTGATAAGTTGAGTAGCATAACCAAGTATCAAGCATGTAGAAAAGTTAAAAGCGTGTATAGGGACAATTAAACCAAGTCACAATATTTCACTTACAAGTAGAAGTATAACCCCCAAGAGATAGTTGAGCCGAGTACAGCAGGATAAAAGCCAGCATAGAGCCCTCTGAGACCCTGAAAAGATATTATCCATATAATTCATAAAGAATAAAATCTCGTCACTGATACTCCTTTTACACTCCTCTTTTCCAAAGCACTAGTTCATATTTTTGTTCAAAACAAGAGGCCAATTGTGTCAAGTGAAACAACTAATCAAGCTCATAACTCGCAGTAACATGTATCCTTATATACTCCTCTTTCTGTCGCATTAGTGAACATTTTTTCCTGTTTTATTTCATTTGATGTTTGAAATCATATCAAGTAGTTCAATCCAAAAATTATTGCTCTAAAAGGTCATGATAGCATATCAAAAGTATGAGCATACATAGTTTGTCATGAGTTGTATATTTACTTTGATGATTACCAAAGAAGATGCAACATATTTGTCAATAACAATAGGAAGAGGAATAAAAGAGAGCCAAAACATAATTATTGCGTTCTGCTCCACATCGGAAGTGATTAGAATTTAGAAATAAATAGTTTATAAAGCCAAACCCCTAGCACCAGACTATAAGACAAGCTTACCGAGAGATTACCTGTCATCGTCCTAAATTATGGACATCATGATTTCCATTATGGAGTGGTCATAAGAAAGAAAAATTGAAAGGGCTACTATACATGGAAAAAATGTCAAACAGAAGATCAACTAAACACAAAGCAATGGAACTCCAATCTATGCTGTAGTTTTAGGTACAGGCATTTAGTGCAGTTGAGCTACGAAAAGGTAACTCTTCACGCAAATTCAGAGATATTTTACTTAAGCATCAATGAGGATAACTTTAAAAGGAAACCTCTGATCGAGCAATGGTGAAGAGAGCCTGACGAGTGTTCTTGTAGCTCGGGACATGAGGATTTCGGCCATCATTAACTGTTCAAATCAAACAAAACATATTAAGAAGAACTGTATTAGGTTATCTAATTTATAACAATTTGAATATATTGATATTAACGCACCTTGGAATCTGGTGCGTACGACATCGAGGGGGTGTGAAAACGTGACGGTAGCAAGGCCCGCTACAGAGCCGGCGGCGGCATTCTCCCACTGCCAGTTGACCGCCTGAGATGCGGCCATTTTTTACTTTTTCTGAATTCCGACGACGGTTGCTTCCCTGGTGTTCCAACTCAGATACTTCCCGTAAGAGAAAGAAACCAAAAAAGCAGTTCGTTTGGCAAGTTCGGTGTTACATAAAGCACGTAACTTAATCAGCTTAACGCACTCGAAGCTTATTTGTTTGTTAAGTCAGAGATTTACGGGGTGTTTTGTTTACCTTTTAATAGTTCTATTAAGGGGTAGTTTGTTAAGAGAAGAATTTTGTTTGGCAAAAAAAATCTGTCTCTTAATGGTTCTAAAACCATTTTGTATCGTGGAACTCCCTTAATCATTTAGCGTCATAATTTCATTGTAAACAATTACGAAACCATTATATTTCTTTTTGCACTATATCATAAGAGACTCTTAATCATTCTGACCACTTAATAATTTTGCACCACATCATTCAGCAACTGCCAAACAACCCCTTAATGATATAAGAAATTATATACAAAAACATTTTTAAACTATATCAAGAGATTAATTCATACAAACAGTTTTATTCACATAGAATCTAACGAAAAATCGATCAAATAGCCCCGTAATCGTATTTGTCCATGAGGGTTAGGTTCGGGTGGGAAGAAAAGTTACGATGGGAAGCATAAAAACAGATCTTCATCCCTGAATCATTTTTAATTGAATGTCAACACTAATGTTGTGCACCGAAATGCACTGGATAAAATTCTCTTTTAAAGCGTAATTTATGGGTGGACCTGAAATTAAAAGTGATCAAGGGTTCAGATGTCTTCTTACGTTTCTCTACATAACTTCCCTTCTCACACAATTCTTCGCTTTGTCCATGAATACATATAACAAAGTTATGTATTTGTCCATGAAAATATGTAACAAATTTATGGTTCTTATAAAATTACCAACATTTTTTTTAGTTTTTTATAAATTTTTTGTTTCTTATATATTCAAATTGAATTTAGCAAAAGACTGGGTTTAAATAAATCAATATTATTGTGAACTTTTATAAAAGTGTTTATTTCGTTTAGTTAGTAATGATGTGATAAGAGAAAATTGTAAAAATAGGTTTTTATAGATCATTATCATTGGAGATGTTCTAAATAGCAATTAAGGGGGTGTTTGGTTCACATAATGTAATTTGATGGAATTGAAATCCATCAAAGGAATTTGACTTTGAAGGAATTGGAATGGAATTTGATGGAATTTGACCATGCATTTGGTTGGTAGGAATTGGAATRAAATCTCTCAATAGAATTGGAACAATCGTCTTTGTTTGGACCATCCCACATATCGCCCCACCCACGCCCTACCAACCACCATGTCACTAATGTCGTCATCACAACTATCACCCTGCCCTAACCCCTACCCAACCCCGCCCCCACCACTCCTGCCCCTGCCCCACAATAGGTGGGGTTGTTGGGGGTAGGCGGGGTGAGGTGAGGCATTGGGGATGGGCCAGTGGGTGGCAAGTGAAGACTATAGTGGTAGGATGGTGGTTAGTGGTGGGTTGGAGTAAGGTGGGGGTGGGTGGGGTAGGTGGCGGGGTGGTAGATGTGACGATGATAGTGGTCGAGTGGCTGGGGCCTGGGAGTGCGTGGGTATAATGACAACAATAGTGGCATGGTATTTAGTGGTGGGTTAGGGTTGGGGTCGGGTGGGTTGCGAGTGAATGGCGGTTATGAAAGCGACAATAATGGTAAGGGGTGGGGGTTAGATAAGGGGCGGGGTAGTGGGAATGGGTGGCAGTTATGACGAAGACAGTGGTGGGATGGTGGCCGGGTGGCTGGGAGTGGATGGGTATAACGACGACAATAGTGGCATGGTGGTTAGTGGTGGGGTGGAGTAGGGTGGGGTGGAGTAGGGTGAATGGCAGATGTGATAGCGACAATAATGATGTGGTGGTGGGGGTTAGGTTAGGGGCGTGATAGTAACGGTAGTAGCAGGGATGTGCAGTGAGTGACCGGGGCCCGGGGGTGGGTGGGTGTGATGACAACAGTAATGGCATGGTGGTTAGTGGTGGGGTAGGGTGGGTGGCGGTGACAGTAATGGTGTGGTGGTGGTAGTGGGGGGGTTAGGGGTGGGACATCACAAACAGTAATAGCATGGTCGTTGTGGGTGTTGATGGAATTCAATTCCTTCCATTATGCTAAGGAATGATGAATTCCTTAATTTGTGGAATTCATTGGAATTTGAAGGATTCCATCCATTTCAAGAAAATGAACCAAACAAAGGAATTGGAATTTGGTCATTCCAATTCCATCAAATTCTTTCGAATTCCGCGAATCAAACGGCCCCTAAGGGTTTGGTCAATTCCTTTGAACGAGATTCGATTAAGATTTTATCATATGAGACCAATTCAGAAAGGATTAGTGAATGATCGAATATATATCAGGTTTGATTGAGGATTGATTGGGGCTCGATCAAAACCTGATTTGTAAATGTTCAGATTTGTTTTATAGAAACTAGTGTTCGACACCGTGCGTTGCGCCGTGATCAAAACTCAATTTAAGAAAAAATGTGAAAGTTTCGACCCCAGTGAAAGTGCGATGTGTCTGGAAACTCGGGATCGTATTTATATTTATAACGTCATGCCCAACACCATAAATCATGATTGGAGAATACTAAAATCAAATGAAAGCACGTCATTAAGTTAACACTTTTGTTCTATGTATATATAAGTGATATAATAGATACTTAAACTACATTTGTTATTATAAATACTGCAATAGTTACAACTTTTGTTAAGAAAAAAATGTATCATTTGCATTGGTTTAGTACTATAATTTTATCAATTGATTGGTTTTGATTTCAGTCATGGTTATAGACTTTAAGCATCCATCATGCTTTTATACATCTATCATCTTCTCCCAGACTATCATCTTTTCATCAATATAAGATGACGAAAGTCAACCTTATTTAAAGATTTGAGAAACACTCAAACCTCATATTGTTAAGTTATCATCCTTGGTTACACTATTAATTTTGCACTATAATTTTTACGGTTGGTTGGTTTTAATTACAAATTTACAACAATGGTTATATATTTCAAAGAGGGTCATCTAAAATAAAACAAAGTTATGAGGCAAACCATATGAATTGACACAAAGACATCCAAGTCATCTTTTTTATACAATTTACTTTGTTCAAACCTTTCAACTATCCATCAATGTGGAACAACTAAAACTCAATTAAGGTTCATCTTTTGGGAATACTCAATTCTCATCATGTCACCTTAAAACCCGAAGGTTTTCCTTTTATATAGAGTAAACTATAATTTTGAAGAATCTTGAAACTATTAATCAATTAATTTTATGGATTTTTTAGATATTAACCATTATTAAGAAAAAACAGAATTTGGGGCCGCTACTTTTAGGCTCGAGGTAATTGCTCGTTCTACCCTTTTATTCAGACAACCTTGAATTTTGACCTGCGTAAATTTGTTGTTTCTACCCTATGATGTCTCTTAGGTCAGGTTTCCTTTGTCCGAAGATAACAAAAGTAAGTTTATGGTTAAAAACATAGATGGTATTAGGGGTATATTAACCCAACCAACAACAGTAATACCGACTATAACAATTAAATCAGTATCCACTTTTTCAGTCATATCCATGTTTTCAATAGTATATCAAGTTTGAAACTTTGTTTGACTTTTAAAGATCCGAAGACTCCCTTGTCTGAAACTTGTATTAATTTATGCGAGTATTGAACAGTGTAATTTTGGACTTTGTTTGGGCATCAATGATTTTGCGTGTATTAAACCTGTATTAAACCCGCATCATCATGTTTTTGCGTGTTTTTACGTATTCAACTTTTACAGGTCTGCAGTGTTGATTTTGTACCATAACCAACTTACATAAATCAAAAAACTTGATAGCTGATTAAGTTGGTATATAGATAAAGTTGGTTGATATCAGTAGCATATTTTTCGTTACTAAAGGTAATATATATATTTCCAGGATTACCAAAAGTTCCATGGCAGGTTACAGCTTTCAAGACATAATAAGAACCCAACAATATCAGATTATTACAGAAAATTATACATATATATAATCAACTAGAAAAATATGATATAACATCAAAACACAATAAATTCTTAAACTTGATCATCATACTCCTCTTCAACCATTGACTTTCCTGCAAATCTTTCTGATTTGACCACTTTTCCCGGTCAACGGATTAATATTTCCCATCTTGATCATTGACTTTGCAAATTGCTGGAAGAAAAGCTCTTGATTTGCAGCATACTGCTTCACAAACTGCATTGTTTGTTGGTTTTTAGTGAACAACATTTCATCGGAGCTTAGAAGCCCCTTGGAAACGATTAAGTTTTTGTAGTAACTGTTATCAAACTTTCTTGGTGACACGGGATCCAAGAAAAACAGGTTTTGATCGCCGCCGGATCTCGGGCACTTTGACCGGAGCTTTGCAGCATATGATTGGTCCAGCGACAAGTCCGGCTGCCCATTGCCGGAGTTGTTGTATAGCCGTTGACGGAAATTGGTGCACCTAGCGTTCCCGATGGTGTGACTTCCTGGAGAAACGAAGTACCAAAAAGTCAATAAGGGGACTAGTTTTCGACATCAATTTATAGTTTTCAAGATTTTCTTGAATGGTAACCAAGTTTTCAAAATTTTCGTTGAATTATGACACGATTTTCTTGGATTACAATTGACTTTTCAGATTTCTTGAAATTTTTACCGAGTTTTTGAAATTTGTTTAGAAATTTTTTAACTATTTTTCAAGATGTTCTTGAATTTTCAAAAGTTTATTATAAATTATAGCGAAAATCTTTAAGATTTTCTTGAATTTTAACCAAGTTTTCAGGATCTTCTTGAACTTTAAACAAGTTTTCAAAAATTTCTTGAACTATATCTGAATTTTCAATATTCTTCTGAATTTAATTTTAATTTTCGATTTTTTTTCCAAATCATAAACCCATTTATCAAAGTTTTCTTGAAAAACAGTAGCTTTTAATGTCAATCATAAATGTTTTAATCTTACCAGAAAGTGCTACCAAATCAACAATGTCGAGACTCTTGAGTTTAAATTTGGTGAGAATAGTCAGAAAAGTGTTGTTTGGAGCTGGAATGTTTTGGTTCGAACCACTCAAGCTTGCACCCAACGAGTCCCTTCTGCCCAATGGGACTTCCCAATTTGGTCCACCAGCCTACAAAAGATTCAAAACATCTTTATATATACAATTATATATCAAATATGAAAAATAATCAAATCTTATATGTATTAGTAAGTTGTACGATATAAATCAATAATGTGATATGATGTGTTAGAATACGGTACCAGAACGGTGGAGTCTCTAGCTGCCAGAGCCAATATATCGGCACATGAGACAGTATGAGGGCACGCCTTCTCCAATGCGGCTTTGATTTGGTCCACGACTTCAAACCCACGAGCCGAGTTGCGGTTAGGAACCGACCCTTTCTCGCTAATTATGCTTCCACCACTGTCGAGAAGTACTGATGCATCACATCCCTAAATGAACATTTGGTTGTGAAAAGAATTAGTCTCTGATCAATGGAGTAACAATAGATAATTTCTATATATGTGCCGGTTTGAGTCTCCTCAGGACCACTAGATATTTTCCTAGACTGTTATCTTCAGGACCTATAACATTAGTCGAAGCGGATGTAGAGGCAGATCCATACAAAAAATTCAAGCAAGGGCACAAGATAATTAATATAATATAAAATAAAATGTAAATTAAATTTTAAAAAAATACCATTTTATAGAAAATGATAAATGAGTGGTTTTTTGCATAATTTTTTCCTTTATTTTTTCTTTTTTTTACTACTATTACCACAAAAAATAAAATAAAAAATTGGCAAAAGGGATTCAAACTTGCAAATCTATAACGCCTCAATAATGACACTACAGTAGACTGCAATCATTTTTTGTTGACTTAAGGAAGCACACATCAATTTAAAGCACATGCAGAGTAAGACCCCTTAAAAAATTTGGTTGTGTCTGCACGATAGAGTGGGTGTATGTGCACCGTCTTTGGTCTTCTTAATCGTCATCTGGGTACGTACAAGTTGACCCGTACACCCGTAGTTACTAGATAAGAAAAAAAAATCAACATATGGAGCCATTAACGAACACGAAGAACAAACCTTGACGAAGCAATCATGGAAATGGAGGCGGAGCAAAGAAGCAGCCATACGACTCTCTTTTGCTACAGCGTTTGCAACTACTGATTGAACAATTTGTTTAGCCTGTGGGCAGGACCGATCGTAGAACTGGGGATAAAGGTAAGAGCCATTGGCTAGAGCCAAGATGGAGATGAGAACCATGAGCATAGTGAGTGACTCAGCCATTGTGTTGTGATGGGCTATCTCAACTGAACACCCTATGGTCAAAGAAGGTCTTGTATGCTTTGATTTGCTATGGAAGTGGAAACTTGGATTCAAGCATTTATAGACAAAGATTTTATGGGGTGTGGGTAGTGAAACAAGGAGTTGCTTGCTTTTCAATTTTAGAGCATTTTCATGATTGTGACACTTTGTTTTTTATACATTTAAAAAGTTAATTTATAGATAAAAAATCAATTTATGAATGAATTATTATTTGTCATTTGGTTTAAAACGTTTTAATCGTTTATTAGGTTGTACGACTTAAATCTTGACCTAACTCATGACCTTTTTTAACTTCACATATTGGGTTCGTAAAAGTATAATGTAATTCAAATATAATTCACTCATTCTTATATATTATAACTGTGTTAGTGTTACGGAACGCAATATACTTCCATTGTGTCTATTAATTTTGTTTTGGGGTTATGAGAGAGTGAGAAAGGCTCACGTTAGTTATCAGTTTTATAAAGTATTTTGTTGTATTAGTAGGATGTCGATGCGAATATAATGCAATTTTGATGCGGGAATTGTGCAAAATGAGATTTTCAGGGAGATAAGGCGGGGAAGCAATTAATGGTATTTCATTTGCTTAGCGTGTATCTTGTATTTTAAACACGTGGAATAGTTGGTTATAGTTAGTTTTATGAAATTCAAACGTATTTAAAAGTCATTCTTTGTAATAAGAAGTTGTAAATGATTTAAAATATAATATGATAAAATATTGTATATAAACTAATATAAGCAATTTCTAATCAATATATATATATATATATATATATATATGTTATCACAATAAAAGGTAAACATAATTGATGCAATCAAGGAGTCAAGGATATGAGTTGGACAACCA